ATTGGACATTGTAGTAATAGGCATGATAGTCCATTTTATCTGCACATTGTAATAAAAATGCCATGAGCATCCAAACGAAAGAACTGTTTAGTTAAATTAACACGACCTTCAGTATCAAGGTCATGAGATTCTCAACATCCACACCAGCTCTGCTAGACTACAAGTACCTCTGGGAGTTTACACCACCTGCTCAAATGGGTGTAGCAAAATGTAAATTTAACTCTGATTCTGTAACCTTTTCCACTACCGCCCACAGGAAGAGTATGGGGTGCATAATAAATGGACTAAACTAAACTGTTTACATACCTTACGCCACTATGTAGTTGAATATTGACAAATTTCAGAATTTAGAGAATTTTATTGCAAATGTTAAAAAAAGATGTACGTACTTAATTCAAAATCTGGTCTACCAGAAATCCTAACCAAATATAAGTTTCCTTACTGTATGTAGAGCATGCATATGACTTAAATTTTCCACTGCCGCCTACTGCACGGGTGTTGGATGCATATTTAATATATAACTGGCTCACCACAGATGTAAATTGTTCAGTTTGGAGACTTAATTGTGGTCCAATTCTTGAACCAATCTGCAAGGAGATTTGTGTGAGCGAGGTTGGAGGCCATATGCTTGTAGTCAGCCTTAGGCAAATTTTCATGTTGATTTTTTAATGGGGAGGTCGGGTCGACCCCTATAATGGCAACCAACTCCAAAATTAGTTTTGGCTCCTATTACAACAACCCATGAGGCCTGTTTAGCCTAAAATAGGGGTTTGGGTTTCCACAGAGTTTTCAGAATACTTTTCAGCTGTACACAATGCAACATTTTTTTGTTTAACATTGCATCAAAGTAACAACAGTAAAAATAACATTGTGGTTACGATGTGTGTTTGCTGGGTGCACATGCTGCATATTCTGAAAGAGAAATTGAGGGAGAGAGAATGTGAAGGAAGAGATGAAGGAGAGATGAATATGTGCATTAATCTAATCTTTGTGTATTGTCAAATTTAATTACAATTAATTAATGTACCTGTAACTGACCTGGCGTAGGGGTGCACCACCGGAACCCCCAAAGTCTTACGATTTTAATACCATGATTAATATAACTAATTACTTTCGTAAATGTATTAGTGTAATTTTAAATAATTGAACATAAAATTAGTTATTAGTTGTAATGGGTTTATTAAATCTATTATAGATTTAATAAATTATATTATTACTATTATTACAATACTATTGACATAATATTATAATTACTATTATAAATTATTGTAATTATAAATGTTACTATTATTATAGATATTATTTATAAATGTAATTTATAAGTAAATAATTATCAAAAGAAGGCACCAAACCGGTAAGACTATGTAGCACCATCAAATGTACGGGATAATCAAGAGGGCGCTAAATATCACCAAGGATGCCAATACGAAACAGAAACGCACAAGGCGAACGATATCAAAAGTATCCGATTCACCAAGAATTCTATCTAGGGACAAGTGACCGCGAGGGACGGTTGGAAAGCAAGACACATGCTCGTCCTGGAAGTCAGGACATTCAACAAGGATATGCACGACTGAAAGAGGGATAATGCAATTTGGAGAATACGGAGCAGGGCGGCACTCCATTAAGTGACCGTGAGTTAATCTAGTATGGCAAATACGCAACCTTGCCAGAGCTGTTTCTCACCGCCGGTTATAGTGGTAGGAGGAAGGCCACGGGGACACACTATGCTTATGAGTACACAGTTTGTTAACAGTAACAGAAGTCCAGTAACTAGAGTTCTCATTTTCTGTATAGGTGGTTGTCAAGTAAAATGCATTGAAATAAGAGGTTGTTGAAGCCAATTCCATCCCACAACTTCAAGAAAAAATATAATGAAAACATTAATGTTGAGATAATTAGCACACTTGGTATAAATGGCTAGGAAGTGGGGCATAAAGAGCCATTTCTCACTCCTCTGTAGTCACGGGTTGGTGATAGATAGCTAATCCTAGATATCTGACTTCCTTCAGGCAGCTTCTTATCAGATTGTGACCACAGCATTAGTTTCTACAGAAGGCTCTTTCACTACACAAACACCTTTTACTCCTTCAAACAGTCTTATCACTCATCCTCCATTTTTTCATATACTGTTCCACTCTTCCCACCTAAGGAACCAGTTGTCTGAGTCTATCATATGATCCCTCTATTTCATCCTTCTTTTTAAATGGCTCTAAAGTTTTCTACTAACTTGGCCATAGCACCTCAATATACAGTATTGTATACAGCTTCACTCAATCCACACTTCATTCCCTTCATACTACATCTCATACTTCCCTCATTGCTATACCTATCCCACATACTAACAGCAACTGCTTTTCTCCAAAAATTTATATCCACTGCTTGTACTCATGAGTAGCATACAATATCTCACTCCTTTTTTAACTCGCATACCGTAGTAATATATTGTAAAATATGACTTGAAACCACATTTGGAATTTCACTATATGATATTTTCCTCTGACAACATTTAATTTTTTCTCTTCATAATAAAAGACAACAAAATGCCATACTCATAAATTAAGGGAATAACCATTGATTAAAATTTCCATTCCAGAGACTGATATCAGAAATTTAATTACTGTAATATAAAATACTATGAAGGTACAGTACATCCAAGTTAGGGAAATTTTGTTAATATTCTGTTAAATATTTTTAGCATATTTGCAAAAATATTGATATAAAAAATATAGGATATATATATAAAAAATAATGAAATTATAAGTTCTTGTTATTTTAAAAAATTAAAAAATGGAAATGCCCTCATTATTTGAGTGGATCTGTCAGAGGAATAATTGGTAAATCAAATTTATCAAGTTCTTAATTAAACCAAACATCACCATATACCATAAATATCATAAACATTTACTTAAATCCATTAGATAAATACTGTACTGTAAAAAGAGAAGTTGGAATTTTAAGAGGACAAAATATATTGGATGCAAGGATTTTAATATGTCATCAGGAGTACATGGAAGATTGGGGAGCACATGTATAAGACCAGTACATGGAAGATCACCAACACTATCACTGTGAAATAAATTAGTGGTCTTAACCAATAAATTATTATTATTATTATGTAGATGTTCATCTACAATACTAAGAGAGAAAACACAAGTCAAGTATTGTTAAATAGGAACTAGTACATAACTTTTTTTTTTATATAAGTACAGTATAATACTGTACAACTTATTAACTATTATAAATGTATTGTAATTATGTTTATGAACAGTATGCTCTCCTATATAAAGATTCAGGATATAATAACCTAACATCCTTATATACAACACAACTAATTCACTTTTTATTTTTAAAGCACTTCATAGGTTATCATCATTATTGTAATGGGTTATTATGTTATCCAACAAATAACCCATGAAATTTAATTTTAGCTTTCATGACTATTAAAAATGACTTATTAATAGAGTACCATGTTTTAATTAAATCTATAATATTACACTATTGACCATAACTTAAAATATCAAACTATATTAAAACACAACCATAATTACTGCTTGTCACAACACACACACACACACACACAAACCAACTCTTAGAGCATTACAGTACACAATCTCATCTGACATGCCAGTAGTTTACACAATATGTACTTCAGATGTAACATAAGCAATAAAACATATACAAATAATGATATATATATATATATATATATATATATATATATATATATATATATATATATATATATATATATATATATATATATATATATATATATATATATATATATATATATATATATATATATATATATATATATACACAGTATATATACATTGTGCAACACTTCAACTGGCTTAAAGAAGATACCTTACTTTAGGTATATATGACTATAATTAGCTGGAAGAGAACTTGATCTAATTGACCATATGTGATATAATAATACTGTTATAAGACCATTTCTCCGTACACAACACTTATCACGTAAATTCTAATAGATTGGATTGGCAATACAAACAGGTTACTGATGTGTAAATAAAGTATAACTTAAAACAGGCATTTACAGATTTTAATTTTGAGCTTTGATAAATACAAAGTCAGTCACTTCTTATAAATATTATTCATAAAAAAAATAACAAAATGAGCTACTCATTATAAAGCAATTTCAAGATTAAAAGACCCTTTGGCACCTGTGTAGTGACACAGGTTCCTATCATTTTTTTTTAAAGACTGTCATGACATGTTTCACTTTGTATGATATTAGTCATATCAGTGTTTTTTTAACATTAAACTTTACTGTAATTTGTTTGTGTATGCATATATATATATATATATATATATATATATATATATATATATATATATATATATATATATATATATATATATATATATATATATATATATATATATATATATATATATACATATATATATATATATATATATATATATATATATATATATATATATATATATATATATATATATATATATATATATATATATATATATATATATATATATATATATATATATATATATATATATATATATATATATATATATATATATATATATATATATATATATATATATATACACACACATACTTGTTCGCACATGTATGTGTGTGTGTGTAATTACCTAAGTGATTACACAATTAGCTAATTGTATGTATGTATGTATATTATTACGTATATATTTATTACTACTAAAAAGTTTTACATTTCTGGATTATATTAAAAATGTTTTAAATAATAAAAATATGTATGAAAAGTTATTTTTTAATAACTATGATTTACTAGTAATTTTACAAAATTTAATACTGCCTGCAGCATAAGATAGGTTGTCAACAGCAATATAAGAGCAAGTATGAAGTTATTATTCAATAAACAAAGTAGCACCCAAGAATCAGTTCTGAAATGTCATACTACAGTATAGACACATCACACTTAGCACTGAAATATAAAGGTCATAGTTCATAAACCAATAATATATTTTAGCACACCATTACTTAACAATACTGCAGTCTATATATCTACAGAATATTTATAATCCTTCTACTGTACAATACAGTACAGCAAACCGTTAAACGTGTAATGCTAACTCCACACACCAAGATGTTTACATGTACTGTGTATCCCATTTATTGTACCGTCACGTTGTATGATCTATAAACTCGTTATGTTTCCATCGTGTTTAAAGTTTGTCATCACCATATTTGTTATATGTCCTCATCAAAATTTGCAATTGATTTCATAATCAAAAATATACCATTTTATTCTTCACAGGAAATTTTTGGTAACTAAATGGACTTGATGTTTACTCATCATAGACAAGATATTTATCAATAGCTTATTATAATATGACTATTATTATCTTAGTATGTCAATACTGTAGTCTTTATTTAACCATTTATTTATTTGTATAAATATCATATCACTGTACTATAGAAAGTCTGCCTAAGTGAGTGAGTGAGTTTGCCTTCACCACATCACTACAAAATGCTTAATTTGTTAACTATTTAATAATTTAATAGTTAAATTTAATAATTTGTTAAGAATTGACCAAATAAAAAATCTTTCTAATGGCTCTGTGGCTCATTTGAGTACAATTCTAAGTTGACCAAACCACAAACTAGAAATTGAAGAGATGACGATGTTTCGGTCCGTCCTGGACCATTATCAAGTCGATTGTGATGAGACAAGGGATGCAAGAGATTAAATAAGGCAACAGAGAGGTGAGGAGACTGAAATCTTAGAGGAAGATAAGAGCAAGCCTTTGCCTTGCTCTTATCTTTGGAGGCAATCTCTTGCCTCCCTCGTCTCTTCACAATCGACTTGATAATGGTCCAGGACGGACCGAAACGTCATCGTCTCTTCAATTTCTAGTGTGTGGTTTGATTAACATTTTTCAGTCATGTTATTGTGACTTTTCATCTGCATACAGTACTAAGTTTCCACCCATGTCCCCTTGTTTATATGCCACCTGTGCTAAATAGTTTGACTTTATATACTATGTCAATTCCTCTGAGAATTTTATCAGTAGTAATCATGTCTCCTCTACCTCTTCTAATTTCCAGTGTTGTGAGGGTTTAAATTCAGTAGTCTTTACTTGTAGCTTATACCTCTCATCTTGGGGACTAGTTCTGTGGCATACCTTTGAATCTGTTTTAGCTGAACCCGGTCAGCCAGAGCCTCCATGCCCCTTGGCATGTCCAGTACTATAACCACTTAGTTACAGACTGCACAAAAGTATTGGGAAGTCGTCTTACTTTTAACCCCAATACCTGACAGCGCTTATGATCATTTTGGGCACATATTTCATCAAATAACTTCAGCATGCTTGGGCTGTATGAGTATCATTTGTGGGTACAGTATCATTTATGACTATCACAAATTTGTAGGGTACCTAGGTATTATGTAGGGTACCTAGTATGGTTTTTGCCATTATTGAAACATGCCACAAAATGGTGATTAAAAATGAAAAAGAGTTTGATTATTCATACATGCTAAATGCTGAAACTGAATATTATACTGTAGCACCAATTTTCAATATACACTGAGAACTACTTGTGTTTTCTATGCTACATTCATCCTGATATTCACTATACAGTAGAATGTTCCATCTTTCCACTGTAGTGGCATTATTGCTTCTTCTGGGTACTTTGTAAAGAAATAACTGTATGTAAGAGCTCTACAATAGAAGTTACTGATATTATATTCTTAAGTTCTACAAACCTTTACTGAAAAGCACGACTAGGTAATAGTTGCATACATATTTGTCAAGATAATTAATGGAATACTTACAATAAACTTAATGATTTCAGAATAATATTAGTACAACACATGGCAAGTAACCGTTACTGATAACTACAATCCTAGTTCTGCATTTGGGTCTTCAATGCTATAAACTATTCTTTTTTTCAATAAAATATTTTAACATAGGGAATACTGTACAGTATATTCATTTTGTAATTACAAATATTCTTAATCAACAAATGATGGTTTGAAAAATTCATTACAACAATTTCAACATTATGTAACCTTGGAACTGGCGAGTTTGGAGTGCTGCAGTATTTCAGATATGACTTTTCTTCAGCATGTTAGAGCACTCCACCGAGACATATGTAGCGAGATTTACCAAGCCGCTGGTATAAATAAACACAAACATATGAACTTTGAAAATATCAAGACTGTATTAACTATATATTTAAATTTACTAATTAAATGTGAACAATTATTTACTTGGCATAAATGAAACCACAGTTACTTCAATATAATACAACTATGATAGCATTTTACACAATGCACATATTAAATTGTTTGTACTAAATTTCTTAAAACCTGATAATTAGTGATAATATACTACCCAAAAAATGCAGTTGTGTAAAATACTGTGTACTGGCATCAGAGTGAGATAGGATGTCTTACCATTAATGTTTTACAACTATGCTACTAGAATGAACAGCACCAATCTCACAATCTTCCACTCAAGCAGCTGCAGTCTTCTTTGTAGGTGTATCTATGGGTTTTTCATGCATTAATGATCAATAAAAAAATAAGATATCTATATATCATTAATCAAATGTGTTTACTATAAATTAACTTTGTTCCAAAAACAAATACTGCAATTGTAGTTGCTATATTTCTAAAGTACCTGTATTAGCACAATGGAAAATACAGATAATCATATTAAGTAAAAATATACCTTAAGAGAATAAAATTGTACAGATCAATTAAATTAAACCCCAAGCATATATCCTCATGGTAATAAACATTACCAAATAATTACAACAGTTTAATACAAAAGAATATGCAAAACTAAATATTTATTATATAAAATAAATTTTAGCTGCTCAGGCAAAGAACCATTGCTTAAATTTGTTACAATTAACAATACAGTATTTGGCAAATACTAAAGCATCTCAACTATATATTATTAAATAGTACAATAAATATACTTAACCCTGAATATCAAATGAAATGCTGTCTGTACATATTATGAATAAATTAACAACATTACTGTCAATATAATTGACTACTGAAATACATTTCACTCTTAAAAATGTATGTTATATAAATCACATTTATTACAACATTCAAACAAAAATCTTAGCTTCAAATGCATTGACAAGGAAAAATAAAGTTATTTTTAATAAATATTAGATTGAGCTTAATGAAAAAGAAAATGCTGAGGCTTGATACTTTCTTCGAGATAATAAATGTTATACAATACAAATACAAATCTGTTCATTCAGAAAATTTCTCTCTGGCCAGTGTACTTTACCTATAGTTCTCACCGGTCATTTGTTATGTATTGTGTGCATTAATAAGGCTGTTTTAAGGTTATTTAAATTAAATAGAATGCTATTACTCTATATAATTGAGTGCATGCCAATAAAGATGAACATATTGCCATGAATAATGCCAACAGCACACTTCATTTAACTTTTGACTTTCAGGCATGTATTCAAAACAAAGTGACCCACTTTTCCTGTTGCATGGGTCATTTCTTACAGCATATACGCAAGTGTAATGACAACACCCAAAATGTTGTGGCGAGTTGGCAACACTTGACAATATGTTAATATTGGCATGAAATTACACTTCAATCATTCATTTAAAGAATGGAGATATCACTTAAATATATTAAGTCCTCAATTGATGATCCAGTATTTATCACTTAGTCATCAAACTTCAACATTTAAATAAATTTGTTCATAAATAATCTATGAACTTATTACCATATTTGCATTATTCTAATAAATCTACATGTATTGCAAACTTTACTAGCTACATACAGTTTAACAATAACTAAACAAATAAATAATAATGGTATTGCACTTACTAAAAAGAATTCATGATCATTTGCCGACCATTAATATTTCTAAATACTTCTTACTCTTACGGCTTTATTTCTGTACCGAAGATCAATAGCTTTGTGTCATCCTAAATCACAGTCAATGTCAACTCGATACTTTTCAAATGCAGCCAACCAAAGTAAATCCAGTATCTCTAGTTTCTATAACAGACATATCTCACAATACAAACCATATTACAAATATAATTACCCCCTTGTCCCTGTGGGTTGTAGTGTAAGTGGAGGGGGGGTAGATGTAGAGGGCTAGGAGGAAGGCCTTGTGTGTGAAGTGTGAGTGTTGGGTATTGGAGTAGATGTGGAGGGGAAAGATGAACATCCATACTTGCTGATAAAACTCTTGGGGGCTTGTCACTAATGATTTCTCCTTATTGCTAAGAATCTTTGAGTACTGAATTTTATTTTATACTAAAAATGGCATCCTGGGAAGGCTACACTTCCCAATATTAATTAGGAAGCTCGACTGTATTATTATACTTAAATGTTTCAGGTTCAAACAAATATGATGAAGCATTCTTAAAATATTGCAGAGAATAAAAGAGAAATACACAATATTGTGTTGTTATTTTGATACACTGCCTAATAGCAAAATGAACTTTAGATGTTTGATGACAATATATAAGTATTTCAGGTTTTAAGGCAAAACACTGATGTTTCCAAAAGATATTACATGAAAAATAACAGAGTTGCCATGGGGGCTTCATTGCTTATTTTCAATACCAGCATTCTTTTTAACTAAAATTTAGGAATGCAGAGTTTCAAGCCAATACAATGAAGTATTCTTGGGATAGCGAACAGATACCCTGACGAAAATAAAACAAAAGAAAAACAAAGATATTTAATAATACCCTAAGATACTTCTGCTGGGGGATACCTATAATTATCGAATAATATATTGTGCCATTTGTTGTTTCCTATAACAAAAATAGATTCTTGATCTAGTATGTGTTAATGGGCACCATCATGCAACAACCAAACAAAGACTTGGATTACATAAAAAAACAAAAGTTATCACAACCTATTCAATGGCTTTTGGAAATGGCACCTGCTTTTTTCAGGAATATTATATCAATTAGGTACATTATTCATCAGATTTTTTGTTTTGTTTTTAATGTATTTGTATATAATATTATTATATAGTGTTAATTTTTGTTAAGTAAACTGGCCTATATTCACCAATATAGTTTACATTTTGAAAATCATATAAAGCTGTTGACTAGATAACAAAATATGCTTGAAAGTCTTTTTAAGTCACATAACTTTAGGCACACTTCATATAATCTTTATGAGATGCGACCATAAAATATAAACAAATGAAACACTTGCCTGTCTTGACAATGTACATAAAATTTAAAAAATAAAAGAGTCTAGCCATGCTTGAAAAACACAAAAAAAATGTTCCTAGTTTTGACTCCTAGCATTCATTAGCATTCAGAATTGTTATTTTCTTAATACCTGCATATAAAGGGAGACCATATTTAAAAAAAAAAAAAAAAAACATGAGCTCACCTCTTAAGTACTCCAAAAATAATTCATATAAGAAATACGAATTAAGTTGATGTAACAAAGACTGTACTAAAACTAGTTTCTTGCTGATGTAGGAAGGGGCAATTTACTCCCAGCTGGTTTTCCCCTTGAAACAGATGATGGCTTAGGAATGGATGAACCCTGACGTTGGGAACGTGGTGAAGGTATTGGAGAGGGAGGAGTGGTAACTTGTTCAGAAGTGGAGTTAGAAGTATGACGACCAGATCTAGTTGTAGATGAATTAGCACGTGTCACAGACGCTGATGACCTGTGTTGTGAACCCCGAGTCAAGGAACGCAGATCTTCTGCAGCAGGTGAGGAGCAGCGAGAAGAGGCTGGGGATGAACTTGTACTCCCATTATGGCTACCGCTGCGGCTACCTCTGCCAAAGCCACTAATGGGTCCATCCAGCCCTGGGGAAGAACAGCGTGAACCCCCTGGGGAGGAACTGCAACTTGTAGGTCTAGATCCTCTGTTTCTAGGAGTACGAACTTGTGGTTGCCTCAAGCGTGACCCCACCACATTAAGGGTTCTAGGACGATTTTCAGTTTCCTGTGGAGAAGTTTGTGGGGAAGTGGCACGGGAAGAATTTGGAGACACTGATGGAGAAGTTGGAAGAGCTAATCTGGAAGGAGATGTGCGCAAGTTTTCATGACTGAGAGACTTTGTACGTGATGGAAGCAGCCCACGAGATGGAGATGGAGCAACAGTTGAAACTGGTCTGTTGGGACGAGATGGTGGTCGAAGACGCGTAACAACATTGTTAACAGTTGATCCATTGCCACCTTGGCTGCCTCTTCTTGAACCTGAAGTGTTCTGACTATCCCTATGATTAATAGTCTGGTTATCCTGACCACGAGGAGACTCACTCTGGTGCCCTATTGCACCTGGTGGTGCTGGTATTCTACTTACTGAAGCAATGGAGGAGGGTTGTCTCAAACGGGAACTACCCAAATTATTGCTACCACGATTCTTGTTATCCATAGTACCACCTTCATTGTTCGTAGATAGATGGCTACCATAAGTGCGATCTGAGGCCCTCCAGCGAGAAATCCGTGAAGCACTGTTCTGTGGAGTGGGCAGACGACTATTGATGACTGATTCATCTATACGAATACCAGCATCAACCAAGAACTCATCCGTAGTGGGGTCGAGTGTAGACATGCTGGGGAGAGAAGCAGGATGAGTAAGGCGCCATGGGGGTGAGGCAAGAGGGATATGGGGTCTAGGGCGGGAATAAGGTGTAGGAATAAGACAAGGAGGAATGCGAGCCAAAGGGTGAAGGCCATGTTGTAACCAGGAAGCACCTAGTGGTCCAATAGGATAAGCTGGAGGCGAGGACCAAGGTGCTAGTTCTGCAGTGTCTAATAAAAAATATGAATGGAGAGGCTGCTCCATCATTCTAGCTTCATGCTCATGGGCTCCCCGGGATCTATCACCATCATAACTGTACTGAGGATAAGGTTCTCGTGGATAAAATTCAGCAGCAGCAAACATTTCTGCATGATAAGGGTCAGGGCTAAATGGTTCAGTAAAAGCAAGAGAAGATAGGTACTCTTCAGGATGATCATATGAAAAATGTGTTGGAAGAGATCGGGGAGAGTACATTGCAGAAAGATGAGGAGGAAGGGTTGGGGGAAAACCATGATAGATATAAGGATCTTCAGAATCCAGAGGATAAGCAACATGATGAGGTCTGGTGCCGGGTAGAGGTTGTGGGGATCGCTCTCGTTGTCTGCCACTTGTAGAACTCTTACTTTCACTTGCATGACTTCCATATTGTAAGTGGTGGATAGATGGGTCCAGAGAGCATGAAGAAGTATTATATTTTTTGGAAGAACTTTCTTCTTTATTGGATGAACTGTAGAAATGAGTAGATGAATCTGAATAATTGGAAATTTTGCTGTGGCGTTTAGAGGGTTTATCCAAGTGATGAGAGCGAGTGTTAAATGCATCAGATGGCTCATTCCTTCGAGAAGAAACATCAAAATGACGGTTTTTATGAATGGGAGCTTCATAGAGATGTGTAGAAGGGGTACGTCGACATGACATTGTATCATAGGAATTACCAGGGTGTTGTGATGTGTCATGGTGACCAGGTCCTGGTTCTGGTTCATTCTCATATTCCTCTGACTCTGAAGCACTATGGTGGCGGTGACGGGTATGTTGTGGAGGCCAAGTGTACATACCATGTGGACTTGGTGGGCTAGCAGTATTGTGAGAGCTTGACTGAATTTTGGTTTCTTTACTTGTCTGACGACGGCCATCATATAGAATATCTGGATCTTCAGTGTCTGAGTGACTGCCACGTCCATCAATTGACCATCCTCGACCAAATCTATTTCGCCGTGGCTCTTCAGGGCTGGTATCTGCTGATGCAACTTTTCTCCGCCAACGAGGACGAGATGTGCGCAACCAGAAGACCTCTCTGGCTGAAAGCTTCTCTGATATTCTATCTTCATTTTCACCACTATCTGATGGTAAAGATGCATAAGGTGGTCGCCGAGAAGACACATGTTTGGTATGTTTATCTGAAAGTCTTTCTCGAGAATCTGAGTGACGATCCCTTGACTCTGAAAGTTTGTCTCTAGATCCTGAGAGACCATCTCTTGAACCTGAGAGACCATCTCTTGATCCTGAAAGACCATCTCTTGATCCTGAGAGATTATCTATAGAACCAGAGAGATTATCTCTGGAATCTGAATGCCTCTCTCTTGAATCTGAGTGCAAATCTCTTGATTCTAAGTGTCTATCTCTTGAGTGCAGTGATCTAGAGACATGTGATGAAGCTGAAGATGGAGGCTCTCTAATGATTCTTGGTGACTCAGGAGAAAGCTGCTCATCCCAATCAATGCTAGGTTCTTCAGGACTAAGGAGGACCTCATCACAGATGTCGCTTATGTCCAACTCGTTGTCATCATCATCATCATCAAGAGACCATTCATTGGGGTTAGTAGCAGAGCTAGGAGATGTGTTAGTAGTAGAAGCTTGATACGCACCACCACTGTAAGGCACATGTTTGAAAGTTAGACACTTGAAACAATAGTGCTAAATTGTTCCCCGGACCATTTCTTTATCCATATATTTAATACTAGAATAAACAGAATAAGTCAACCAAGATAAAAATAGTATATATTAAGGTTACCAGTAGTTTACAGGCATTCCTTGTGCTTTCCACATAATTCTTGGAGAGAATGTTGAGTTTTATTTAATTTCCTTGGTCTTCCCTCCCAGTGACAAGGTGACAAAACCATTTATAAAGTTCCTTGTTATATTTGAGCACAGGTAGATGTGAGCCTAACAAAAAAACCTATAGTGTGTCCTGGGTGGGCCCAGGATATGGTCCAGGTCATGACTAAGGGGACTGCTCAGGAGTATTTTATAAACACACAACACTTTTTCTATCTACCACTAAATGGCAGCACCACCAACAATAACAGGTAAGCAGGCTCTTAAAAATGGAGGATGCAGTAACTGGGTACTACAACTAGACAGTGGCAGAGGACCTACATTCATTGACAATAGGGTTATTTCAGAGACATTATTCACACCTCACAACAGGAAGATCATAAATTTTTGCCTAGTCTAACTTTCAGGTAGGCTGAGTGAATGAACCATTGTAAATGAGGAGCATCTGTATCTTCCAAAGGGACCACATTCTAGTAGGACTTAAGGAGGCATTTAACTCAAACATAAATAGCAGGTACAATACTTCAAGCAAAACCCTGAATGCCCGTGACAGTGCAAACACATACATACAAACATACATCATATTTCAAATGTAGATATGATAGAGCCCAGTAGGCTCAGGAATCTGTACATCAGTTGATTAACAGTTGAGAGGCGGGACCAAAGAGCCAGAGCTCAACCCCTGCAAGCACAATTAGGCGAGTACACAATCTCTAAATGTGTATAAACAGGGCACTTCACAAAGTCCTAAGACTGAGACAGTCCCAAATGGGTTGTGAGGAAAGCATCCCAGCTCAAGACCCAGCCCACACCAAAATACACCCAGACAGCCACAGAGAAGATAGCTCTGACGACTGTCAGTCTTTTTCAATCAACACAAAAAAAAAATAACCTGCAACCCACATGCCAAGTTGAGAGTAAAAAAAATTAAAACTAAACCAAAGTCATAGAAAAAGAGTAGTCACATACCATTAAATGAACACTGAACAATGGATACCCTGAATATTAGCTACTATACTTTATGAATTTTTCCTCTGCATGGGTGAGAAGAACAAGAGTGGATGCCAGGTGACAAGGAAGAGTAATTGGGTCTTTTGATTTCTTGTTGGTGTTACTGCTGCCATCTAGTGATGGTTAGAGTGGTATATACCTAGCCTACCAGCGGTTTACAGAAATTAGGCTGGCAGTTCTTGTATTAGTCAATAATTTCTCATAATTTCTCATAGAGGACATCGGATTTAATTTTGCTCTTTAATGTCTTTGCAAGCAGTCGATTTGGCAGAGGTTTGAACCTTATCTCCCCAATCTTTCCTCCTCAGCTAGGTGACAAAATTATTTGAAAAGTTCCTTGTTATCATGAGGCACAGGTTGACACGAGTCTAATACGAATATTGTGGTCAGAGTAGGCTCAAGCTTTAGCTTGTGGAGCAACTGAGAGAACCTGGTTCAAAAAAGTAATATGAAGATTTTGTATAAAGCAACTACAACAATATAAATTATGGCAACAATATACGAACAATTTCATATTTTGACGCCATATTGTCATTTTATTAATAATGCATAATGCAGAAATGTAGCAAATCTAAACAAAAATTTGACACAGTGAACATTTTATCATAGCTTGAAATTAAATCTATTGATCAAATCTTTAATTTGATCTATCGATCTCTTATCTTTTAATAATACAGAATTCATTATAACTGTGCAGTAATTTATTTGATTAAGTTTTTCCATGACTCATGGCCTTTAATTAAATAAAATATATTAGATCATTTGAGATTGTAAGATCATTGCCACTCAGAGATCTAGTTTCTCTACTCCACTGAAAGGCTACACAGGGTGCTATAGTACCTACACATTTACAATGTGCCATCTCTTTATTTGTATTTGTTAAACAAAAACAAACCATGTTAAAAATTCATTAATTAAATTCAACATTGAAGAAAATTTCAAGTTTTGAATATACAGTATGTGCAGATAAGACAAAAACATAAGGAAATTTTTTAGCAACGAGAATGGTAAAAGTTCATGGTCCAGGGAACAATGTATCAACTGCATAATGATCATCATACAAATATTACAATAGTAACCTAATACACAAGCCTAAAATATCTATAATGTCTTTATTGAAATTAAATTTACAACAGTTTGAACAAAACCTTTTAACCCTTAATGTGCGGCTATCATCAGGAAACCTCTCTAGCTGAGCCCATAAAAAAAAAAAAAAATGGTTCTTATAAAATTATATAAAGATATATTTGCATGTAAAACTTTTGGAAAATAAAAAAAAATCTAAGTGTTTTCTGGTGTTTAAACATATGGGAGGGAGCTGGGTGGAGGAGTCTTTAGGATCGTACAGTATCAACAATGTACATGTTGATACTGTACATTGTTTATTTATTCATCAAGTAGGGATGAGGGGGGGCTCTGGTGTTCAAGTTAGACCGTTATTATGTTTGCCATTTAACTGCAGTTTACTCACTTTGTGTAATAACTCAATATATATGAACACACAATTATTAAAAATAGTGACCAAGTGCTGTATTTAGGGCTGCCATGAAATATGTATACTGTATTTTTATTGCATGTAAACCTGCTCTCGGCACAACTCAAAGGAAGTGTCGTGCAGCCCACTCCTTTGCTGCTATTCTGTCCATGAATACTGTCCACAAATAATGTAGATTCAATGTAAAAAGTAAGACATCATAAGTAAGCAATTAAAATTATAGTAGACGTTTTCATGAGTCTAGATTAATCTATTACTATACATCCAAACAGATGTATTACTGCCATATTTACATCATTTGTATAAAAACCAGTGCTAATGATGAAAATCAACTTATGATGATAGCCGTACTTTAAAAAGGTATTAACTAATTTACAAAGCCTTTAACAGGAATTAGAGATGAATTAATCATAGCTGAAATCAGCTTTTCAAATAAGTAAAAAGGGGGTCTATTAACATTATGGTCAGTTTCTAAGAGGCTAAAGTATAATATAAAAAAAAATTAATATTTTGTATAAATTACACCTAAAATTATCTCACAGAGAATATGAGCTACCATAAATGTAACTACAATAACATAAAACATTACAAAATTGTATGCAACTTTTGTTCCTGGGAAGTTAAATGTTATTTTCTGACTGCTTATGTCTCCAAAGTAAATAAAATTATTATTTTTCCCCCCTCAAACTAAGACAGCTTAGGGAAGACATCTTGAAGGTACTTGAAGGCTACTAACTAGTAACATTGTTTAATAAGTCAACAGCCTTCCAGTACCTCAGGATATCTTAGGCAAATGTCGAAGACAAGTTTGAGGAGAATAATAAAAAAAATTTATACTTTGGAGGCATAAGCAATCAGAAAATAACACTTACTATCCTGAAAATATATTTACACAGTGTTATTTAAAAATATCATAGTACATTAATCACCATTTATATAATAAAACTGTACTAATTAATATTTTCTTATTGTGCAGTAAACTCTCATATACTGTATTGTAATTTGCATGAACTCATTTCAAAGCCTGTTAAACCACTGAAAACCTCCATATAGAAGAAAACATTTAAGATGACATAAAATAAGGCTTTGAGTCAAAATAAAAACACTTTTCTGAACATAATAGTTTGGGTGCTCCCAAGGATAAGATCCACATGGGAACAGATTAAGTGCAGAAGGCATAATGACCCATGTGAGGCAGCTTCTGTTTAAAAGTAGGGATACACTATCACAGCCAGAGTCAGCTGGCAACTGCAGGTGTGGCTGAGGGCTGGACCTCGAGCTTTGTGTTCTGTTCAAGACACATTTAGCTAGCATCCTCCAAGCTCTGAGCTTTATAAGTTTAGATCAAACCCAAACAGACACAGTGGTCCGGAACTTGTAGGTACGTTTATAGCTCCAAGGCAATACATTTCATTTTTGAAGACTATTATTGATCAAAATACTTAAGTCAACTTCAACTTGACTAACCTTGTCTGTTACATTACTAAAGGTGACCCCCAATTGCTTCCCCTGGCTGCTTATGACAGACTTAAATAACTTTGCTACTGATGACTAATTGACTATTGACTGACTAATGATGACTGACTTAATTGACTCGGGCATCTGATGACTGACTTGACCAACTAATGATAGGCTGACATGACCAACTACTGATGACTGTCTTGACCAACTACTGATGACTTGACTTACTACAGGAGAGAGTTCTGGGAGTTCTACTCCCAAGCATGGCCTGGGCCTAGGTTTAACTTATAATAACTTTGTCCAACAGGCTGTTGCTTGGAGCACCCCACAGGCCCACATACCCACTACAACCCAGTTGGACTGGAACTTCTTGTAAAAACTTATTCAATTACTTCCTGAAGATGTCCACCATTGTTCCAATAATATTTCTAATGCCTGCTGGGAGAGTATTGAACAGCCATGGATCTCTGATGTTCATACAGTGCTCTCTGGTTGTGCCAATGGCACCTATACTTCTCATTAGTTCTATTCTACATTTCCATTTGTATCTTTCAATCCACTATGTGGTTATTTTACTGTGCAAATTTGGGACCTGGCCTTTCAGTATCTTCCATGTACTGTATATATTATTTGTCTCTCTCGTCTCTTTTCCAGAGAGTACATTTTGAGAGCTTTGAGATGGTCCCAATAATTTAGGTGATTTATTGTGTCTATGTGTGCCATAGATGTTCTCTGTATTACTGCGCCTATTTCAGAAATCTCTATTGCTCGGAAATGGCGAGCGAGTACTGAGCAGTACTCAAGGTGTACAGCATCAGAAGATCCAGAAGACATTTTAGATTTTTCTTTAGTTAGTAACCAAATTACTCATATCTACTCAAAGTCATAATATTCCGCATACAAATGATCAGTGTTTCGTGATCATCAATTGCATTATTATTGCATCGACCTACAATATTAAAAAAATACAAAAATATAATTGTTAAACAAGTTAACTCAATAAATGGTTAAAAGCTTTTATCTACAATAGAAGTTGTGTGATAAATTTCACACAAAACTGGAAGTATATTACATAAATTTCAATAAGTGTAGTATAAATCATATTTCTTACATCTACTAGCTCAAGGCCTGCCAGAATTGATATGCTTTATCTGACACTTCAAAATGTACTGTATTGTCATTTTTCCATCCCACACAATCATATACATTTTATTTTCCAAATAGTTTTTATACAGATTTTTCCAAATTAATGTCTATTCCACAATCTATTTCCAGCACACAATATATGCAAGAAATGTGGACGAGGATTAGTAGAAAGTATTACACATACAGATATGAGAATTTACTGCATAAACTTAATAAATAATAAATGAAAACTATTTCTAAATATCATGCTAAATGTACATACCATTATTTAACAATAAGTTGTTTCCTGCCTCCATAGCAGAGTGATCAATGGAAAACATCCTTCCATTGTTTGGACTTTTTATATACCAAAAACTCCTTTAATATTACTGTTGTATATAAGACAATTCCTCTTATGTATTAATACACAAATTAATATTTAAACTCTTTATCTTTTATACAGTCAAATATTTATTCTCTTTGCAAAGAATAAATTACAATTATTAGGTGAATGAAAACTAACACCCAATCCACACACACATATGAAAAGACAGAAAATAATGATATTTCAGTCTGTCTTGGACCCTAATCAAATCCAGAACAAACCAAAACATCATTATTTTCCTTCTTTTCATATGTGTAGGTTGAGTATTAATTTTCTTTAATTTAGAAAAGTGAAAGTCAATGTTCGGAGTAATTTCCTACTTGAAACACCCTGCGTGTAATGAAGGAAAGGGTTCAGGCAGACAGAGGATGACATACTAAATCAGACAAGAAGAAAGGACACCAAGGCATTAATAATGAACTTATAATGCATGCATGCAGGGACACATCACTGAAATCATGTAATAAAATTTTAAAATAACATAAATGAAAACTTAAATTCTTAAAAATTCACAGCAAATAAGGGGGAAAACATTATTCTACATTTATATATATTTGAAAGTATTGAATGTATTTTTCTAAAACTATATATAATTTAGATAAAATACTGTACATATATCTTTAGACAAAAATATTATCAAATACAGTACAATATAAAAAAAAAAGCTTTCATTAAAACTAGCTACAAAAAAAATTGTTAAATAAAATGAAACCCCCATTTCATTTAGACCCATAGTAGCTCCCTGGTGCTTAAGCATCGGTACCACTAAGCCTATGAATTGGTCTCCAAGTAAATTAACACGAGACACAGTCAGAGAAAATGTGATGCTGTCTGGCTCTTGAAACCCTACTGAGCACATGGTGCTGCCGCCTGAAAGTGGGCACTGTTGGTCAACTAGTCGGCTAAACAAACAAACTGTTATCAACAACTTTATGTTGATAGTTACTTGTGATGACAAAAGAGCACTTAAGAGTTTTTCTCCCATAACTCCCTAGCACCTATTATGAGTAAAAAGTGAGGCTTCAAAAATTTCTGTGATGCCACTGCCAGAATTGTCATCCACTGAAAATTAAATGATCTCAGAATGCAGCATTCGCCTCAACTATTCAAACAAAAATGACTGACTGACATAATATTCTTTGGTATTGAATCAACTACCTCAATACAAAACTTCAGTGTCATGGAAAAACTGAAAGGCATACTTGATATTTTAAATGCCTTTGAAACAGAAGCTTAATTTTTTTAAGCATAATTTACCATTATGTACAGTAAAATGTCTTTCATTTATTCAATATTTCTTCTGTTCAATATATTCCTATGAAAACATTTTTACCACTCTTTAATTAATAAAGATATATCAATCAGATCTACAAAACTTTCTTACAGAATGAGTGATGTTCATATTTGTATTTGTATTTGTTAGTTATTTGTATTTGTATATTACTGCCAAGATAACCACGTTCAAGTGATATATTGGAGAACTATCAGTAAATGTTAAAGAACAAGTGTCCTATTCAGTCTACCAGCATGTTACTGGATCATCAAGGATAGCTGCCACCACTTTACATTGATAAATTACTTTTATTGTAAATTAGGCACCAGGTTGCAGAAAGGTTTGGCATACCTTCTCTGTAGTAAACAATAATGCCAGCCAATACTCTCCAACCCAACTCGACCCAAAGGAATGGTGCTCAACCACTTGGGGTGGACGGTAGAGCGACGATCTCACTTCATGCAGGTTGGCGTTCAGTCCCTGACTGTCCAAGTGGTTGGGCACCAATCCTTCACTCCGTCCCATACCAAATCCTTATCCTGACCCCTTCCCAGTGCTATACAGCTATAACGGCTTGGTGCTTTCCCCTGATAATTCCCTCCTCTCTCCTACCACATAGCAAGTACATCAACCAAGCAAACAATGTACTGTATTATATCTAGCACAATGAAAACCATTATATTCACTAAAAATAGATTGTAATGAAATAATATGAGCAACAATTTATCTAAACAATTATTATCATGATGTAATTTGGGCCCTGAATCCAGTGCCAATGGGACCAAAGTAATTTAAAGTTCAACACAAAGAAATGATAAACAATAAAAGCAATAAAATAATATTAAAACCAAAATTGCATTAAAAATTGGTGACAATTAGTAAACTAGTAAGAGTTTAAAAAAAAATTCAAAGGCATACCCTGAAATATATATATTTTTTAAATTAGAAATATAATATACAGAGACAAATAAATAATTGTGTGATTTTAGTACTGTACAGTATTATTAAATGCAAAGTGATAAAAGTTTGTGTAAGTTACCTTGTGTGTAAATGTCTAATGTTGTGGTATGATTAGTTTATATTACTTCTTCAAACTGTCTTCTCAAAACCTAAATTTTGTAATGTATGCTTATCTCTCTCACTACTCTTATGGTAAACTACACATTATTTTCCCAATATATTTATATATTATCATTAAAATTGTAAGCCAAAGTGTTATTCAATTTATGCAAAAATATATATGGTAAGTTTGATTTAGACTGCTGTACATCTGTTTAGTCCAGCCAATATTGTAATGATTTGTGTAAGTTACTATGGACACAGTTTTTAATTCTAATTCTAATATGGCTGCCTGTACTAAGGAAGCCTTGGAAATTGTTGTTATTGTAAAAGACCTTTGATTATATTTTATAACTGGAATCAAGACAAAGAAGAACAGCTTCAGTTATTCCAATGTTACATGAGTTTTTTTGTTTTTTTTCTATTTTTTGCAAAATATGGGTTTTAATATAAAAAATAAAGAACAAAATGAAAACAAAGATACAAAACACCGGAAAACAGTTGAAATAAAAATCATGCTTTGAGTGACTGTGGAAAACTCTTTCTGAGCAATACACTCAGACAAGATCACTGAAGGTCCAATTGTAAAGGATCAATGACAATCAGGACAGGATGACATTCTGCACTAGTGCAAAGAGAATCCTTTCAAATGCCCCTGTCAGATTACGGAAGTCATCTGTGAAATTAACAGTACTTGGCTGGGAAGGCACTGGTGATAAGCGCATTCCAGCTTGGGCTGACTACAGACAGTCCAAGCCAACAGTGTAAGAGTCAAAAATGTCTTGGAATGAATCAGCTATCACTTAAATTAAGGAAAAGTCTCTCGCTCAATCAGAGATGAAAAGGTCAATCTGACCAGGTTGGATTTGGCAGTTCCTGGGAGCTCGAGATATTGCCTAAGAAAGTGACAGAATGGCCTATACTCAGAAACAATTTGTATATACAATAGAGTATAATTATTCCTTGCAAGAAGTTTAGACAAATAAAGCACAAAAAAGAATAAAGGCTCAAACAAAATGAACATTTACAACAATAGATGCCTAATGTAAAAGTTTATTGTCCAATAACACAATGGTATGAAAACATCAATAATAATCAACCATCCCTCTTCCTCAAATAGTGAAGTTCAAGTTGTATGCTATCTGAAAGTTACCCCCAAATGGCACACAATATTTGTACATACATGAATGTTAATGACAGGCCATTATATAGCTGGACAACAACATTTCACATTACTGAAAGAGAATGTAAAGTTCCAGATACCTCCAACAGCAGCGCTGTACGAGTGAAAATGGCTTTACATTACAACATTATTTCACCGAATCCCACTTTCATGGGGTGAGTAGCCATCAGCCCGGAGAAGAAAGATAAGTACTGCAATTTAATATTTACCACTGAACAAAGTATCTGGACAGCTTTAAAAAATGCAAGTAAACTACTTTCTATCACCTTCAATTTTAGGTCCACATGTAATTTTATAATATACTTACCAGGATTTCAGACTGAAATGACCTGTGGTCACCAGTTGCCTTTCCAAGAATAACACCTGATACTTACCGTAGTATTGTACATTCATCTGGTGGTTTTGTTGGTGCATGAGAGTTGCTACGCCTTCTTTCTAAATATGAGGGTAATCGACCAATGCCCGAACTGCGGCGGTTGGATGACCTTTGTATCGAGCGCCTCTCACCTAGGCCTACTCCATCACCTCGGTTTCCATCTGTATTATTAATAAAAGTTTATATACATGATGTCATAATATAAATAACTTGAGATCTAAATGTTATAAAATCAACAAATAAGTAAAGAAATCTTTACTTGCAAAATACATACAGTGAGTAATGCAGTATTTTGAGGAGGTCTTTAAAAGCCATTGTTGGATATAGGATTATTTGCAGTGATTAAAGAGTTTATACAGATACAATAAATCCAAGCCTAATAGCCAAAACATCATCATTATTACAATTACTGCCCTTCCCACTTTCAGACTGTTGCTATCACTAAGTAAAATCAGTTAGGGAACAAAAAGCAATAATTAAAATTTATATTTGTGGTGAAATTAACAGTTTTAATAACAGTAGGTGAACTTGCAGCTAGAACAGTATAAATGTAATTTAACACTTTTGCATCCTGAGTTTACCATCAGTGGATTCTGATGACATGTATCATGTTCTGATGATGAAACTAACTTTAAATTTAGTTTCATGTTCTGATGATACCCAAAAATAAAAAATGTCTTTAAATTGATTTCTATGAGGTTCAGGAATTGGCTGAGGATGCAGATCAAAGAAACCTTTTACCACATTTAGGCTCTATCCTCTAGGATTAGTTGGCTCCCAAAATGTTTACCTGGTTGACTAGTGTGATCCTTCAGGTGATTTGACTCCAGGGAAATTCAGTCCCAGCCTACCACAACAACTGTCAAATTTGAGCCCCAAGTCATTGGTCTTACCTGCTAGCCAAAGATATGTTTTCATGAGGGTTCTGAGCCAGTTTGGGTTCTTAGTGAACTTGGAAAAATACCAGTTATCTACCTTTCAGCATCTATAATGGTTGGGGTTGGTTTGGGACACCAGCTCAACCGCCCTCTCTCTTTGGAGTACATCTTGTGTTGAATGCTTTGCATTCTCACTAGGTTTCACAGAGATGCTGCCTGTTCTGTCAGGTGCTCAAACGACTTTTGGGTCACTTGAATACTCTAAGTGTGGTGTATAGCTTGAGCCAAGTGTGACTGAAACCAAGACAAATATATAAAAGTTGGTAAATCCTCCTGGGAGGCCCAGAAAACAATGCCTTGACCTGCCTCAATGACCGACTTATTTTGGCTCTAAGTTTTAGGCTTGGCCTACTAGCAAGGGACCGTATGTTGGAAGTGCTGAGCATGTTAGTGTTTCCTCAGCCTGCTTCACTACATCAGTTCATCCTCAGAAGGGATCACTTCTCCTATTTGAATCTCAGGATGCTTTTTGGTAGCATTTGCTGCAAGGTGTATTCCTTGGGCTGAATCTGGCTGACGATATTAAACGGTTTTCTTTGCTCTCTGACTGGAAAGGCAAGAAATAGTTCAACAATTTGTCAGTGCCATTGTGTAGTGGATTATGAGTATATCACTTGGTCAAAAACTTGGTGTATCACTAAGGCGAGTTTACAGCCAGTACTAGATGGATGACCATGCGACACCCATGGTCTTGGCAAGGGACCTCCATAAATGTGACAGGCTTCCTGTCCCTGACAATGGTATACCATGTAGCATAGATATGTCAGCAGAATAGCTGAAGCATGGCTTAACTTGTAAACAATTGCTGTTGGATATAAACAGGAGCTGCCACACATGGACAAATATCCTATCGCACTTTCCTCATTCTTATCTTCATATTCATCTACACGGCAAAAGAATACATAAAAATTTATCAGGAATATTAAAATAAAAGCATTTAAACCTGGAGATTTTTTGTCGACAGCCTTGGAATCTGTAACAACTCTTCGCTCTTGTCTCTCCCTTCTTTCATCCTCTGTCTCCTGCCCACCTGATTCACCTTCAGGAGAACCACGCTGTAAAGATGAACAACAGTAATTAATACAAACTTCAAAATATGGATAAAATAATCAAACAATTATCTATGAGTTCAGTGTTACTGGTAATGTGGAATTTACAGTACAATACTCTTGTTTATCACTAAAATAGACTACTAGATGAAAATACATACTCTAATATGAATAAGTCAAGAAAGAGCCTTTAATAAAACAAGATGGGACAGAAATGGTTGAGCACGTTGAGCAATGTATTAATCCACGATACACATCACTGATTATGTTAAACAAAAGGGCACTAAACTCGGCCACTCAAAAAATCAGATCAGCCAAAATAAACTACGAAAGAAAAATTGCCTAAAACAAAGTTCTAAAATCATTCTATGTCTATATATGAGGTAAAATCAAAACAAAGGACTCAGTTGGACCTTTAAGGTAGATCCCTTTTGGGACCTACAATTTTTGTCATATACATCATAGGCAAAGATGAGAATATTACAAATACCACCATCAAATTTGCAGATGACACTAAGATTTATGGTAAAGTGGGAAATAATAATGATATTGAAGCCTTACAAAGAGATCTACAAGAACTCCACAAATGGTCAGAAGACTTTTCAATATCGACAAATGCAAGGCCATGCATGTGGGGCATAATAACCCATGCCACGACTACCAAACTAATAGCATTACATTACAGCAGATTGATGAAGAAAAGGACCTTGAAGTCAAAATCCACCACTCACTAAAAGTTTCACAACAGGTGGGTGCAGCAGTCAGGAAAAGCTAACCAAACTCTTGGGATAGTCAAGCATACTTTTGACTATAAGTAAAAGAAGGTAATGGTTCAACTGTATAGATCTCTGGTGCCCCCATTTGGATCAAACGGTATCAAACCATGGAGACATCATTTTCAGTGGGACATAGCTGCTCTGGAGAAAGTGCAAAACCAGGCAAAAAAAGTCATTCCAGGGCTAAGTCATCTCTCATATTAGGAATGCATTGAAACTTTAAAAATACTGAACAAATTAAAGGATGTTGATCCAGATATTTTCTTCAGATGTAACAAACAAGGAGCAACAGTTTCAAGCTCAACAAGCCACAATGTAAGACTGAGAACAGGAGATGCTTTTTCACCCACAGGGTTATTAACCCATGGAACTGTCTACCCGCCAAAGCCATAACTGCCAAAACTGTGGCAGTTTTGGCGGTTATGGCTGCCAAGTTTGGCCAAGTTTCGAAATATACCTGGAAAAAATCCTCAAGGCAAATGGGGGAACCTTCGACAAGCCACCGGCTTCCTATCCTCATCAAGGCCACTAGGGTTAGTGGCTCTCAGGTAAATCAGGTAAATATGGAACACAGCAAAGAGGGAAGGGTATATAACACATTATAGAGGGAAGGATATGTAACACATTATAGAGGGAAGGGTATATGACACATTATAGAGGGAAGGGTATATAACACATTATAGAGGGAAGGATATGTAACACATTATAAGAGGGAAAGGTATGTATCACATTATAGAGGGAAGGGTATGTAACATTATAGAGGGAAGGGAATGTAACACATTATAGAGGGAAGGGTGAGTAACACAGTATAGAGGGAAGGGCGTGTAACACAGTATAGCGGGAGGGGTAACACAAAATAGACGGGTGTGTAACAGTATAGAAGGAAGGGCGAGTAGCACAGTATAGAAGGAAGGGCGAGTAGCACAGTATAGAAGGAAGGGCGAGTAGCACAGTATAGAAGGAAGGGCGAGTAGCACAGTATAGAAGGAAGGGCGAGTAGCACAGTATAGTGGGAAGGGCGAGTAGCACAGTATAGAAGGAAGGGCGAGTAGCACAGTATAGAAGGAAGGGCGAGTAGCACAGTATAGTGGGAAGGGCGAGTAGCACAGTATAGAAGGAAGGGCGAGTAGCACAGTATAGAAGGAAGGGCGAGTAGCACAGTATAGTGGGAAGGGTGTGCAACAGTATAGAGAGAAGGGTATTTAACATAGTACAGAGGGAAGGAATATAAAACAGTATAGAGAAAAGTATATAACATAGAATAGAGGGAAGGGAATATAACTTTATGTCAGACCAATCAAATGTTCAGTGCCAGTTACTATTGTGTTTACATCCTCCAATTTGTAAACAGATTCAATGAATATTTCTTGCTAAGTAAAATGTAATACTGTACTTCATTCAATATTCTGAGTTCCATTCATGGATATTTATGTGAATTTACACTTGCTTTTTTTTGCAAATGATCATTCTGTCAATCTGCCCCATATTTCCCGCTCGTGCCTTAACTGGTGTGCAAACAAAGAATAATGTATGAAGTATATAATACAGTAAAACGGTTCTTACTGTCTACGAGACCGTGAGTTTGCTTTCATTCAATCAAGGCCCTCTCTCTGTGTGAATTGGGACATTTGTTTTCAGCCATATGATGACCAAACCACACATCACAAAATGGAGAAAAAAAGTTTCTGTCCGTCCTGGACCATTACCAAGCTGTGTTATATTATTGTGGCAATATGTTTCAGCCATATTATTGTGACTTATTCTCTGCACAAGGTAATCTCTCAATAACTGAAGTTGTTGGCCCACAAAATTTTATAAAATGATGAAAAACTGTTAGATCATTATCTGGTGAGGCTTCAATACCTGGCTTTCACAGACTTCAATCTTGTCGAGCTGAGTGATAGTAGTAGATATGGCCGCTGACACATCCCTGTCATTCTCGCTCACTAGTAAGCTGCCCACTACAGTCTCTAGCTCCTGTTAAATAAATTTATATGTTAAAATACAACAAGACATTGCTTCTAAAGTCAAAGGTTTTGCTAACAAAATAATTTAAAAAATTATTACATATCAGTGAAAGCTGATGATAAAGAGAGGATTACAGTTTAAGAGGGATTTGAAGATCTAAGATGTAGAAGGAGATATGCTAGGTGGAATCAAATTATTTTATAAAAGCAAAGTATGTATTAAAGTTAATAATGGAAACCATAGGCTACACAAATTTCAAGAATGTGATAACAGATTAGAATGTATTTGTTTTAAACAAAAATTCTAACTAGTCACTAAATGGCAGTACATGAATCCCAAATGGGTCCACAACAGTAATTATTCTGCATAAATCCAATTAAAGTTATATTCTACTAAAACCAATCCCACAGATATAGTAGAAGCCCGACGGTGATTCACAACCTAAATGCCGCTATATATACAAGTACAGTAGAACCTCGAGTGACGAACGCCTCAATTGGCAAGCATTTTGGGTTACAAGTGCCCAGATCACCAACAATTTTTCTCATATGGCGAGCACTCGTTTGAAGAACGACAACACCACATGGTGGGGTTATGCTGCTTCTCGCACATTCTCGGACGCCTCCAATGATGCAAATAAATTATGTTTTTTTGTTTAAAGATGCTGATGATGCTGGGATATAAAGGGGTGACTGCTGTGATGTTGCAAAGCATTGACCTTTATGTAGAAAAAAGAAATAAAATTTTTTGCAAAACAACAAATGTCAAAAAGGTTCATTCGGTGTTCGGCAGGTAGGCTGCTCCATGTTTCTTAAATAAAAAATATAAAAAAATAAAATAAAAAACAGTGGGAACACTTTGAAAAACGGACATATGCCATAAAGGTTCATTCAGTGTTTCTCGGGTAGGCTGCTCCATTATTGAGACAAATGAAAAATACAAAACAAATGGAATACATTTGAAACAAGGAAAGACTATCATAATGGAGCAGTCTGCCCGACAAACACTAAACGAACCTTTATGGCATTTGTCCGTTTTTCAAATTGTTTCAATTGTTTTTTTTATTTTTTATTTTTTTATTTTTTATTTAAGAAACATGGAGCAGCCTACCTGTCGAACATCAAACGAACCTTTTGCTATAAAAAAAATGAAAAAAAAATATTGAACATATTTGAAGAAAAAAATGTCAAAGGTTTGTTCAGTGTATGTAAGGTAGGCTGCTCCATTATTTCAAACATATCATATTGATGTTTTTCGGTGGTAGAACGGATTAATTTGATTTCCATTATTGTCAATGGGGAAATTCGTTTTGTGTGACTTCCGTTTCACATGACGAGCACGGCGCCGGAAAGAATCAAATTCGTTATTCGAGGTTCCACTGTACTTAGGATATAGGAATAACTCCTGCTTCATAAAATACAAAGGCTCTTGAATTAAAATAAGTATATCTCACCTGAAGCCTGGCTTTATCTTCAGGCAGTGAAATTGTGGCTTTCATCTGGGGAAGTAGCACTACCAGCTTCAACCGAATGTTGGGGACTTGATCACCTGTAACAAACAATATGGAAACTTCTCTTCATAATATTCTAATTAATAATATTCTTTATAATATGAAACATAATATTCTTAAAATTTTGCTACAAATTACCTACTTAAAATTATCTTTTTAGATTAAGGACCTGCCTCTAACGCTATGCATGTTAGTAGCTTTGCAAGAATGTAAAAACATCAAAGCTATTTACTCTCCTAAACCCAATGTATCTTCTTGTATATAATAAAAAAAAATAAAAAGTACACAAGTGAATGATTGCTTGCATGTACTTACCTTGAGCCCTGTCTCACAGTTACCATGATGAATTTTTTCACACACATGAATGCACCCATATGCACACACACATCATTTACTTATATAATATAAATAATATATATAAACATAAGCACAAATACTTATCAATGAAATTACACATCTAATTATTTTATTCCACTGAAGTACAGTACTGTAATTTGCTTACAATGTAAAGACAGTAGTGGCCTGAAGAAATAAGACTTGAAGAAAGCCTTGGAGAACATTTCTAGAACCATCGTAGCTACGTTGAGAAACAGCATTCGCTTGTGGCAACTATTTCCTTCACAAAATTCTGAAATTTTAGACAAATAATAATTTAAGGTACTGTTTACATTGTTCCTTTCTTATTTAATTAACAGTTACTAGATTCTGACATATTTTTTTAGCTAATGTATATATCTTTAATATTTTATTGTGATAATGTCTCAAAAGTCATTAGCTTTCCATTAATTACTGGCATAATTCATACCTACAACTGAAAATTCTCTTTTTTTTTTCTAAGTAAATAGATGTGTTACCACTGTGCCACTAGTAATTTTACCATAGTCCAGAAATAAATTTGTCAACAATGTCTTGATCTATATGGCTGAGTTATGGGACCTTAATACTAGGAATGTAAACCAAAACATTAAGCTATGCTGGTACTGGACAAAATGCTCAATACACACACCAAACAGAATGCCTCAAAAGAGTAAAATTAACTTTGGAGTGTTAATATTTAGGAACCAAGTAACCACAGGAATTGCCACTGGCTGGGCACCCTCAAATATAGCAAAGGAAGAGGTCAGCTAATGAAACTGGACTTGAACTAACACACTAATCCAAATTTGGGATTTAGGCTGGAAAAGGCAAAAAATGAAGTGCTACCCCAATTTTGGGTGGATGCCAGGTTTAAAATTAAGGATTACCAGCTTCCTTGACATTGCTGTGGTGACATTGGTGGTGGTTGTGTAGCTTTGATATACTAATAGTAATTTGCACAAAAAAAGATAAAAGTCTTAGAGAGTCTGGTGATTAGTATGGAGATCTTAGAAACTTTAGTTAAAGGGCCATCCGAGAGATCATACCTCAGAAAATTAATGGAAATAATAATATTATACTGTACATGTAAACTGTAATTTAACCAAAATTTTTTTACAAGTATGTAAAACTGTAATCTATTCTCTCTTATTCTATGTATAATAGCAAGACAAAGAACCCACCTGACACAAGAGTATTACTGATATGTTCTCTCTGCTCCGAGGTGTTCATGTGTCGGAGGTAAACCAGCAGAGTCCTGGCTGCTGCAAGTCGACATGGAATTGGCCGCTGAGGAATCAGAAAAAATATAATGTATATAACTTACTGCTACTTTTGGTGAAAATATATACATAATAATGCAAAGGAAATGTATTAATCTATAATTTCCTAGGAGCCATGTGGGACTCAAACCAAAATGCATAATGTCTTGCTCCTTCTGTCAAATTCCTATCCTTCATTGTGAGGTGGTTTTGATAATTTAAGGGTGAGGAAGGGAGGGGATTAGTGGGGCTACAGTTGAGGTACAGCACATACAGTGCAGATGCCCCTTGATTGGGGAATGGAGCAATATAAAGTACAGTATACAGGAAGCTTGCTGCTCCAAGCAGAGGTAAACATTCCCACCTGAGGGTAGCTAAGATAAAAAGGATGCCTCCTCCATTCCTGATCCTTTTTAGACCAGACAAAGCCGAGAAGTTATTTGGTGCCACATTCCAACTCCCCGAATGTTAAAATAATGTGAGGACAAAGCTCTGAGAAGTCAAAAGCATGACTACATACAGAGTTGAAGCATCAACCAAACCACTGCCATCTAGAACATTGATGTGAGCACCACCAGTGCCAGGATACTGATTATGTCCTGTTTTTTTCGAGCCTGAATCATTGTCAGCTGAGGCGTCTCTACATCCGAGTCATCACATAAGCACTGTCCATCCGAAGTCAAAATGTAATGTACTAGTATACAGTATATAACAGTTTCAATTTTTTTGTGCAGGATACTAAAAATAATTTTTGTTGTTTATGCTATTCATTACATGTGATACAATAAACTCATTAATATATTAACTATACACATTTTAAAAACTAAGTAAGTAAAATGATAATAGTTTGAACTACTAAGGATACACTGATACTTACAGCTGTTTGCATCCTAATGAACATAAGAGGAACAAGTTGAGTGAAGATGAGGTCGGTGGGAAGGCAGGGAGCGAGAGCAGCTGCTTGAGTCAGAGCTTCAGCATGCACTCGCCACATGCTTGTGATGCTCAGTGTCTCCTCCCCTTGCTTGATGGCCCCCACCACTTCCATAAGCTCTCCTCTCTGTTCATAATCACATTAGAAATTAAACAATTTATAATTAATTTCCATGTACTGTATATTGATAATGCAATTTATTTTTCCAAGCTCTTCAACCAGCAGTGATACACTAAAACGTAAAAGAATATGAAAATAAATGAATCTGTATCAGGCCTACTGGTTCATGCAAGGACGCTACTATTTACATTCACCCGGTCCCACTTATGTGCTAGTCCGGCCTATATACCTGAAACTTTCCTGTCAGTTTGCTTGTATCATGTTACTTAGTAACGTTTTCCACAAATTTGTAATTTTATTAAAGAAAACTCTTAAGCCTCCAATTTGAAACACTTTTTCATGTTCTATCTTGCTTTAATATTTTAAGAACCCTATTTATATCCTCGTACTTATATCCAATCTCCAATTTCATATTTTCATATGCCATTTAAAATTTGAAGTGCTAACTTACAGGAGACTGTGGAGTAACTGCATTGTGTCTGTGCATGGTGGTGATTATATGAGGAAGGTTGGGCATTAATGCTGCCAATATGTCCAGGCTTTCAGAGCGTAACAACTGTAGAAGTCCCTCCTTCACAAGTCCCACCTCACTACCCACCAAAGTACACAGCTAAAATGGGTGAAGAAATATGAATATTATAGAGTAAGTTTTTTAGTTGTGTCATTCCTTAAAAAGAGGAAAGATTTAGGAATTTATTGAAATACGATATTACACAGCACAATGTACTACTGTACTTTTTTATGTTTTAATAATATTGACTTCAGAATAACATAATGAAACAAAATAATTTAAGATTTTTAAGGAAAAATTCTAACGAATAAAACTGACTACTGTAGTTGTAAATCTAAGTTGAATTTAAATGTTTCAAGCAATAATAGTACTGTACATACCTGATGAAAGGCTGCTGCTACAGTTGTTCGAACCTGTTGACTGGGATCAGTAATGAGAGACGAGACCGTATCGTGCAGACTGGTTCGGTAGGTGGTCGATCCTCCAGCAAATGCTACCATACATGGCAAATTATATGCACACTGCTGCCGACACTCGGCCTCATACTCTCCATTACGAACTTCTGCTACCAAATCTGGCATCTGCAACCACATTAATATAAAATACATAATTCCTTCCTTGAATGATATTGACAAAAACATTATCATTACTATACTGTAATACCATTACTATGCAGTACAGTAATGGTAATGCAATTATATCAATATCAATCAGGGGGAAACAATTATGTATTTTTGTACTCCAAACATTGATGCTTTAATATTTGTGGTGAAAAATTGTCTAAATTTAAGCAAGTTAAAACTTACTCTAAATGTACCTAAAATTGCATATAATTTTCTAGTAACAATCACATATCTTTACCTTCCTTCCAAAATGACAAAATTAAGAATCTTCTTCAAGCACTGTAATAAGTGAAAGCTTCTCTGCATTACCATAAAAATATAGAACACAATGTACAAACACACACACACACACACACAAACAAATTAACTTACTATGAGAGTTACATGCCTGCATGTTACATCTTACATTCACATGCCAATTAAATTTACATGTTAAAAATTAAAAAGCATAAGATACATTGTAACACAGTACTGTACTAAAAAAATTATACAGTGCAATTTATTTCTTTACCGGAAGTTCTGTTTTTTTGGAGTCAGGGAGTCCCAACTTTGCTAGTGTACAGTAAAAATTCAAGAACCAGTTCTTCTGATCTTCAGTCAGTTCATCTGAAAAAAATACATATATACAGTATATACTAAGGCTACACATGTCCTTTTATTTTCTAGTAATTTCTATTTAGTTAAAAATGTTCTACATGTGTTTCTGATTAACAACACAAATGGCTTGAAGTTTACTTTTATTTTACTATTCAGTACATGTACCTGCTTGCTGGTAACACCTTACACAGAATGCAAAATATATTTATCTCCATTATCACAAAGTAATAATACTGTACACAACAATTAAGATATTTAAACATTAAATGCATGTACAAGTCCTTTGATTTAACAATTATACACTTATTAATTACTCACCATGCAGCCCGTGGCATATGCGGCCCAAAAGATGTGCAGTTACAGGTAAAGATGCGTCTTCTACTCTTAGTGCTCGCTCACATACCTTCCTCACAAGTGGAACAAGTGTTCCAACTCGAGTTTCTGATGGGTAAAGTCATAAATAAATAACTTATTTCCATTTTTACTGTATAAATGAATACATTTCAGTTATTGTTGGAGTACAGTGCTGTATTATATGTATAAAATAATTAGACATGGACTGAATACACGAGGCTAAAAAGTCCTTCACAAGTTGGCATCTGATGTGAAGAAGTTGACAATGTAAATGTCAATCAGTCAGTCAAGTTTAGCACCATTGGGTGTGGCCAACTATGGGGAGGGATGACTGAGTCGACAGCCCAACCCTTGGGTAGAGGGACCTTAGTAAGCTTAACAGTTGTCCTTTCTAGAATAATTGCAAATCAGCAAACTATATTTCACAATTTATGTTACTTTAGCATAAGTTATGAAACTTTAACATAAAAAAATATGAAAAACAAAGAATTATGAATACAGTGAAAGTGAAATATCAATGAAAATGAAATACAGTGAAATATCCTTAACCCTTTAATACCCAATAACTGTATTAACTGCTCGCTAATTAATAATTAATGATTAAAATAAGTAAAAAATGATAATAAAACAATTGTCACATGAATATGAACTAAAAAGTAATGAATCATAAGTATAAGAGTTAAAATTTAAGCAAGATTTGACCATATTTTGTAATAAAGCATACTAACCATCATCAAGCAGAGGAATCATAAGCACTACTGTGTTTATCCCGGCCAACCGCACATTGGTCTCCTCGTCAGAGCAGAGATCCACAAGCTCTGGCAGGATGTGAGTCTTGGTGGCATCCAGACCCAGACCCCTTGCCACAGCAGCCAGCTGACTACACATACTGCCTCGTACCTCTCCACATACATCTTGACACAAGCTTTGTACAACACCAACTACTTCAGTTTTCAACCTAGGGGAAGAAATGTATACATCTTTTAACAGAATGCAGTATATCACATTTACAACTGTAAGTATATTTTTCAGCAGATAAAGAACTACTGTAGATATGACACCTAACCCATACATCTGAAAATATAGAAAATGGTGACACTTCAGTCTATCCAGGATCATTATCAAGTGGCTTGGATGCATAATTTTTACCCATTTTATTGAGAGGTAGGACCAAAGAGCCGAAGCTCCACCCCCGCAAGCACAACTAGGTGAGTACAAGTAGGTAAGTACTGTAGAACAAGGGGGACACAGATGAACACTAAACACATGAATAAGATATGTATGGCAGAAAGAGCTTTTTCAGCACGTAAAAAAATTATAATTAATTAAATAAAATGGCTGTCATTACTAAATCAAAATAAAATTTGTAAATTGCATAGGAAAAATGAGAGAAGAGTCTTTGCATTTAAGTGCCAATGGTTCTAAAAGTGATGCTAAGGCTCTGCCACACAACTTTGCAAGTACATAAATTTGAGTTCACACCAAACAATACTCACAGGAATGGTTCGAACTTGGTAGCTATTTTTCCAATGAGCTTACAGGCAGCCAGGCGAGCCGACACCTGCTGGGATTGGCCCTTGCTCACTGCTAGAGTTAAAATCTGAAAAAAATACACTATGTAATGATAATATAGTTCATAAGATATATAAAAGCATGCTTTTGCATAATATTATAATTTACCTTTTTAAATGCTGTTAAGTCTTGAGCAGACTTAATCACACACATCAAGATTTTTAGCCATACTTTAAAATCAATCAATATTTGACATTTTCCTATCCAAATTATAATAAAAATATGTGATAATATTAGCACAAATCCTTCAAAATCCCCATAATAATAATCATTCTACAAGTTATGAGATGCATCTTTCACAGGTAATACCTGACTGTATAACTACATACCTCATCTTTAATGACTTCTTTGGGAAGAAGGTCTATTACATCCAACAATGTCTCCAACCACGCATTAGCCACCACTGAAGAGTAATAGAGCGATACATTAGTCATATAGTTCAATTTAATACTGTAATAATAAATAATAATTCACGGTGTTGGGGGATTGGCAGCCAGTGTATATAATCATTTAATATTGTATATAATAATAATATAAATGTTAGGCTTATATCGAGGTCCCCCACAAAGTCGAACTAATGACCTTTCCAAGGATGCAACCCCACAACAAGCTGACTAACTCCTGAGTACCTACTTACTGCTAGGTGAAGAGGTGCATAAGATCATAGGAAATGCACACCCAACCTTTTCTGTCCCACCCGGGATCCGAACCTGGAATTCCTGATTGTGAGTTAGGAATAAACCTGACTGTACTATGGGACCCCTCAGTCAGCCTGTATTAGTCCTACCATTATCTAGCAAAATGCTGTGTTAATGACTTTGCATGAATGTAAAAATACAAACCTTATGTAATCTCACCAACCCATTGCACCTTCTTGCAAATATTATTATTATTATTATCTGAATGTCTAAGACATTAAACATACAGTATGTTACTTCATCCTGTATTTTTCTCAAAAATACATTCTAGTTCTGAATAATAATGTATTCAATGGAATTTTACCAATAAGGATCTGTGATTTCAGAAAGTGCGGGTTTTTCAGTACAGTATAGAGAAAAAAGAATGACTAGAGACTTGCGCCTGGCTGCGCGCACAGTGGCTAGGGGATACTTAAAATGAGGCCAGGTCAAGCACCCCATATATAGAACTACGGGTTCGCCATAGCCTGTGCTACCTGGAACTTTTTGTTCCAGGTAGCGAATCTTAGACAACAACAACATCAAGCACCCAGGTGGTGCACCAAGGCCAACAGAAACAGAGGCCACCAAAAACACCACCACCATTCCTACTGAATGAACAAAAGCCAGAACAAGTCAGGGAATATTAGGTGCTTTCATTATGCAAGCACCAGACAATATATACAATGACTACGACACGAAAGGCACTCTACCTAGCCAGCAAATCCACACCTTCCATGCCAACGAGTTCCAGGCCATCCCCAAATAGAACCACGAAAAAACAGCTGCAAATAAAACCTGACCATATGTACCAGTTCTATGATCTGGAGACACTCAACCTAACTACTTTAAACTGTATCCTGTGTGGTAAGCTACCAACATATAAACCTACGACTTATGGAGAGCAGAATAAAAAGGTCAAGCCATGAAGACCGAAGATACGTCTACAGAACCACACTGAAAGCGGAAGCTTTCCTTCCCTTCTTTAGAGGGATAGGGACTTAATTTTGCTCGTTTTTATTTACTTTTTTCTTGTCACCATATCCACCACTGTGGAGATCACCACCCAAGACAGAAAATATTAGGTTTAAGTCTATAGTGTTTTTCCTGCCCGTAACGCTTTGCGTAATAGTGGCTTTAGGCATTGTATGTACTAGCTCTATCTATAAATTCAGCAATATTTGTATCACCCCTTGTATGTATGTACAGTACAGTACTTTACATGAATAAACATTTGAATTTTTAAATTTTAAAACTCTACCAAGATAAAGAAGACTCCACCAAGATATCCAGCACCACCCAAGGGATCCAGCCTCATCACCCAGCTTTATATGGAGCTTTGTCCGAAGCTTTGCCCGAAACGCTGTGCTTACTAGTGACTTTAGGTATTGTATGTACTATCTCTATCTTTAAATCTATCATTATGTATGTAAACCAATGGATGTACCTTTACCTAAATAAAGAATCTGAATCTGAGTTGTTCAGCATCAATCTAGGCATGCAGTCAAGCCCTGGCACTTTTTCTTCAACTCCAGCGCTTCCTCTCACCGACTTCTCTTCAGCTGCACCCCACTCCCCGCTCGCCCCTTGGGTATTTTGTACCGTATATTGAAGACGAAGAAGCACCCTCCCTTTCCACCCAGCCGGCGGTAGCGAGCGGCTGGCTCACTAATGTGTTAAGGCTGCCCTTACAGTATAAGACAGGTGTCCAGGTAAGTATGCATCTATTTAATTATTTTATTTATTTATGCATATACTGTTACGGACCCGAGCCCAGCGTCCGAGCACGGAGCAGTGACGACCGCGCCATCTGTGGGTCAGCTCCCGAAACCCCCTCCAAATGGACGACGCCATCTAGTGAGGACGAGATATACTGGCCACAAGGGCTGGTTTCCCGTCCTGATCAGCTCATAACATAGCCGCTGCTGACCTCTGGTGAGGTGACGCTTAGACAGCAACGCCATCTATGGAGTGGATAGGTGGGCGTTTGTGTCTAAGCCTGTAAGTGAGGTGCCCTAGAGTGTAACTAGTACTGATGACGTGTCTGATTACAGAGTCGACCTGGAACTGCTGTAATGGAAGTTGGATCAGTCTACCCAAGGCAGCCGAAGAATCTCCACATGTTTGCTGCAGCAGCTGTGAGTCATCCCCCCCCCACCCCCCCGGGATGAACACTGTTGTGTTAGCCTGCCTGTGAGGTGGCAGAACCAGGGATTGTCGTACCCGGGGCTGACTGGTGGAGAAGACTAACCACTGGGGTGTTGTGGTGAGGAGAGTGATCTGTGAAATCACACGAGGCTCCTGCCTAGGGCTCGCAACCCTAGTATCGGTCGTGGAGTGGCCTACGCAGCGTTGCTGATTGGAACCTGCCAGCTAAAGGCTGGATTTGTGGTTGACGGCCGCCACGACGGTGCACCCAGTGGGACTGTGATTTGGCTGGCCTGTGGCCGGGGTAGACTCGCTGGGAGAATCTAAGGATTCGTCTAGAGGCCACAAGAAGAGAACCAGGGCTACTCGTCTTGAGCACCGTTAAGCAAAGCATCCTGTGTCTTCGGAGGAAGACAAGTGATTGTAAATAAGTGTAGTTATAGTAACAGCGTGTGACTGTTTATATATTTATTTATTGGTGGTGGTGAATATATATTTATTTCTGAGCAGTTTTATCCCTTCCCCTTTAATTTACTTGCGTTACGGAGCACACCCCTTGAAAGCCACTACTAGCTTGGGGCCGGATACCCAAGCTCTACTAACATCAGAGAAAGAACCCAGTTGCGACCCAAGAGGGCCGTAACATATACCGTAACCACAATCCCAAGGTACATTGGGATTGTGAGGATACATAATATGGTAATTACAATCTTGTAAAGCCATTGGTACGCGCAGCATTTCGGGCAGGTCCTTAATCTAAGCTATTGTTGTTCTTACCAGGGTCCTTGCTGTCGATGGAGGTGAGTATGGACTTGAGGAAGGTGTGCGTGAAGTTGGTGTGCGGGACGAGGTCTCCCTGGAGGAAGGTGAGAGCCTCTTGGGGTGCTCGTGGTGCCTCCTGCGTGTCAAGCCCCAGCACCCCACCTACGCCCCCACCTTCACCCCCTCCGCCCGCCAGCAGGGACAACCCAGAGTGCACTCTGAAAGATCAAGATTTCATAACATTTGTATAGTACAAAATTTATACAAAATGCATACATACACAAATACATTAAAGGCTCTTACACAAACATGAGAACTAGGCTGGTGTAACTGGAAAATGGTGGGACAGGTGTCTCTCTGGTGGGATACAGAGGTAACGACAGGAATAATGCTGTTGAGAGATGCGAGATTACAGCAGCTCACCTCAAAGATCAGCACTGCAGCTTATTCTATTTCTGATATACATCAGCAACCCGACAGGAATTAGATAAATTTATACCCATAAAAATGAAGACTAATAAGACTACTCAATAGTTCGATCATTAGAGCTTCCCCCTCACACACGTGGGGTCTGCGGTTCGAATCACCTACAGCCCAGGTGAATGGAAATTTATATTCATGTTTGCAAACACTGCAGGATTCATCAAGCACTCAATTGTCTGCTTACGAAACCTCTACATCTTTCATTGACCATGGCGGCTTGGGGTTGGTTTATTAAATAGTTTACGAGCTCTGAAACACCGCGAGGTCATTCTCAACACAAGGTCACTATTGTTACAGACCTTTGAAGTTCAAGTTCAAGTATGTTTATTGAGACAAGCCTTTGAAGTATACCTTTGAAGCTCATAAACTGCTTAATAAATGCAAACTATGTCGTCATGATTGAGGGAAGATGCACGGGTTTCGTAAGTGAATATTTCAGTACTAGACAGATGTGGCCTGCAGCCTGGTTGAAGCCTGCCTATAGTTATGAGTACGATCGTTACACAAACTTGCTCAAAAGGCTGACAAACAATACTGCAATAAAAATATACAATGAAACTAAGTACTTTCGAATTTCCGTGCAGCACAGGACAGGGCGAAAGAAAGATTTTTTATTTCCTTAAAATTGTAATACATAATTTGAAGCAAAAATAAATGTGTGCACATGTGCACACGGCTGCGTGCGCGGCGTGCACACGAACCGTCCTGATTGTTGCCAGATTGATTGATTGATAGAGATTAAGCCACCCAAGAGATGCACGGGCATGAATAGCCCGTAAGTGGTGGCCCTTTGGAGCCATTACCAGTATCAAGAGATGATACTAGAGATCTGTGGAGGCGCGACTGCACCCTGCGTGACGGGAGATGTCTCCCGGACCAAATGGTGTTGCCAGATTGATTGTTTGATAGAGATTAAGCCACCCAAGAGGTGCACAGGCATGAATAGCCCTTAAGATTGTTCCCACTACCTGCGGCCCCTTTATAGTGCGCCACATACTCATCCTGTCAGGTACTAGTTCAGACCTTCTAGTACGTTGTCATGTGTTCTTAAAAATGTGGATGAAGATGGCCTCCACCACCTCCAGTATATTCACAAATGTTTCCCCACTCATACACTGAAAGAGTACTGCCTCATAGGCACGAGTGGAGGCTACTAACACAAATGAGTTGAAGAAATGTAAGGAAATACTCGTACTCAATACCGGTGATCAACAAGTGGAATGTACAGAAAGAAGAGTTGTGGAAGCCGCCTCATTCCACAACTTTAAGGCCAGACTCAACACAGAATTTGAACGTCAGAATAGTTAAATTATAAGGCAGCATGCAGACGATGAGTCACAATAACGTGGCTGAAGATATGATGACCAGACCACACACTAGAAGATGAGGAGACGACGACGTTTTGGTCCGTCCTGGACCATTACCATGTCGATTGTCTTGATTGTCATCACAGGGCAACAGGTACAATATGGACAGTGAAAATTAAGTCAGAGGTAAGAGATCCAGTGTGAAATGCCTGCCCCCAGCATCCATGGCTCCTACCGCAGGCAGTAGAGTCAGGTGTGCGCTGAGGTCACCCACAGGTGTCTCCTTTACTTTCACTTGCAGATGAGCTGTATGACACCAGATGAGTTTTACAACATATATATATACGTGACTTGTCGAGGCATACACAACGCACTACCATTTTCGTTCCATAAACTGAATCACTGGAAGCAGTACAAATTCAAACTACTGTACAACATATGTAGGCTTACTTGCAACATAATGGAGAACATACATAATTATAGTATCTATGAGGTCTATGGTGGGAGCAGTGTAGAGCATGACTAGCGGAAGTACGTGAGTCACTCATAATGACACGTGTTCCTGGGCCATACGGCACATTGCACCACCCCCATTGATGGGGAAACACCCCCCCAACCACCCACCTTGCAAAGGGAAGGAAGAGAGCTGGGGACGAATAAAACAAAATTCATTTTCTTCACGCCCACTACCGCCACGGGTGGTGGACATGTGGGCGTGTTGAACCGAGTCATCACCAGTCGAGCCTGGCCCCCCGGGCCGGTCTCGGGGGAGGAGTAGAACTCCCGCAACCATCTTCAGATATGCTCCAGGTACGTACAGAACGATGCCTGCTTTATATTCCTACACACCTGCTTACTCGTTGCCACAAGCACAATCATCGCCAGTAATTGTATAACGCACACCTTCTTCACCTTTGACCTGATTTACAAAACCCCGAAGTCACGTCATTGGAGGCCCGTACCGCATCCCTTGTGGGCCAGCTGGGAGGGAGCCCGCCAGATCATGCGACACACGCACACAGGGAAATATAATAATCAGTAATAAAGAGAAGCCACGGGTTGGGTAGGTGGTGTGAGAGAGGGGGAGGAGGAGGTGGTGCCTGGCGTCACAGGTCGATGAATGTGACGCCAGAGGTAAGGTAAAAAAACTCCGTTGTTGACGTCAAATTCACTGTATCCCTGCTGACCAGACCACACACTAGAAAGTGAAGGGACGACGATCTTTCGGTCCGTCCTGGACCATTCTCAAGTCACTGTATCCCCCCCCCCCTCACCCTTCGATTAAGAGACATGAGCAAATTTATATTAATAATATAGATGTATATATATGCATATTACATTTTTGTTTATAAGTTATTTTTTGATTGCAGTCAATCACAGGAAATTATGCTCGGCGCCCCGTGCAGTCATGGTGGCATATATCATAATATATTATTTAATATCCACACAGTTATAAATCCTTCCGTTCTCATGATACAAAAATATTGTGGTGGAAGTTGGTGTGGTGGTGACTGTGGTAGTGGTGGTGATGATGATTGTGGTTGGTGGTGGTGGTGATGATGGTTGTGGTTGATGGTGGTGGTGATGATGATTGTGGTTGGTGGTGGTGGTGATGATGGTTGTGGTTGGTGGTGGTGGTGATGATGATTGTGGTTGGTGGTGGTGGTGATGATGGTTGTGGTTGGTGGTGGTGGTGATGATGATTGTGGTTGGTGGTGGTGGTGATGATGATTGTGGTTGGTGGTGGTGGTGATGATGATTGTGGTTGGTGGTGGTGGTGATGATGGTTGTGGTTGGTGGTGGTGGTGATGATGGTTGTGGTTGGTGGTGGTGGTGATGATGGTTGTGGTTGGTGGTGGTGGTGATGATGGTTGCGGTGGTGGTTGGCGTGATTGTGGGGGACGTGGGGGGGGTGAGGTTATGAAGGTACAATATCAGTACATACTGTACTAAGGGGTACATACCCCTTAGAATCTTGTATGTTGTGATCATATCCCCTTGTCTACTACGACGAAAAACGATACTACGTGGTTGTTTAGTTCCTGATACCAGAGCACATTGTCTTTGATGAAACTTACACACACACACACACACACACACACACACACACACACACACACACACACACACACACACACACACACACACACACACACACACACACACACACACTGGGGGGGGGGGTCTGACAGCTGAGCGGACAGCGCGCAGGACTCGTAATTCTGCTGCCCGGGTTCGATTCCTGGACTAGGCAGAAACAAATGGGCAAAGTTTCTTTTACCCTGATGCCCCTGTTACCTAGCAGTAACTAGATACCCGGGAGTTAGACAGCTGTTACGGAGCTGCTTCCTGGGTGTGTGTGTGTGTGAAGAAAAAAAATAGTTAGTAGTTATAGTTGATTGATTGACAGTTGAGAGGCGGGCCGAAAGAGCAGAGCTCAACCCCCGCAAGAACAACTAGGTGAAATACAACTACGTGAATACACACCCCAGGGAGTGAACATAACCCTAACTATAATGTTGACCAGACCACACACTAGAAGGTGAAGGGACGACGACGTTTCGGTCCGTCCTGGACCATTCTCAAGTCCTTCGACTTGAGAATTGTCCAGGACGGACCGAAACGTCGTCGTCCCTTCACCTTCTAGTGTGTGGTCTGGTCAACATACTTTAGCCACGTTATTGTGACTCATCGCCCAACTATAATACTAGAAGCCCACAGCAGAATAACGTCAGCAGCACATGCCAAACTGGCCAACATTTCCGCCCCAAAACTTGGACAAAGAAACCTTCAGGTCATATACACAACATATGTACGACCCAGTTTTGAATACGTAGCCTTCCCTTGAAGCCACCCAAGGCAATGGTTGAAGATTGAAGATATGTGAAAAGGCTCGTTTCTGAACTGAGGAGCTTGAGCTATAAGAAAAGACTAGGGTATAAAATTTCCCTATACTGGTGCAGGAAAGACTGAGGGATCAAGACCTCGCCACTGGAGGAGAGGAAGAATAGAGGGCACATGATAACGACATAAGATTTTAACCATAAACAACAAAGTAAAACAAATGAATTGTTTAAAGCTAGCAACAGCAGACGGTGATTTAGATAGAAATTCTACGCGAATAAGAAGAAGAAAAGCCAGAAAGTACATCTTCAGTGTTAAGAGTCGTGACAAACCATCAGTCTTCAACACCAGAAAAGTCAGCGGCTTCAGAAAAAGTTGGGCCAGCTTGTGCTTCAATGTGGCGCCGCTACCTTCCCCAGTGGCACCGCACCACCAGCGCCATCTATCACTTGGAACATGTTCTCACAACAAAAGGTGTTGAAGTAATAGTCAGCTGACCAAATGATTGCCTGGCTCACTGATGGCTACAGCGTCTCCCTCAACCATATACAAATGAAGCCTAGCATAACCATATACAAATGAAG